GTAGTGGTAGTGGTAGTGGTAGTGGTAGTGGTAGTGGTAGTGGTAGTGGTAGTGGTAGTGGTAGTGGTAGTGGTAGTAGTAGTAGTAGTAGTGAATAGTAGTAGTGGTAGTAGTAGGAGTAATAGTAGTAGTAGGGGTGGTAGTAGTAGTAGTAGTAGTGGTAGGAAATTATGTTGGAAGATGATGTGAGCAGATGTCCTTTCAGAAGAATCCCTTCGCAGGTGCTTTCGGGAAAAAAGTCTAAGGGTTAAAAGGGTTGAGTAGGGCCGGTTAATAAGGCCCGCTAAAGAATGGAACTCACCCGTCCACACCCACCCTGCCTTCTTCATGTTCCATGACCACCAAATCCCTTTGGCCACCACTCAAAGGAGTCTAGTCTAAGGAATCCGAGCCAAAGATCGCAAGAGGATTGGGGACAGCTTAGACCTAGTAACAAGTGCGTCGCTACTAGTAACAAGTGCGTTACTACTAGTAGCAAGAAGCTACTAGTAACAAGTGCCTCGCTACTAGTAATTTCTTGTTGCAAGAGGATTGCAAAAGGACAGCTTAGACATGTTTAGACTAGCACTGGGATTATGATGCCAAGGGCATAGTAGCATGTCCGGTGTCAAATTGAAAACGAGGGTGTTCTATTCTAAAGTATCTCTTGCGAGCAGACAGGGGGATGGAACCCATCTTTTGCTGTAGTTTCCTTCTGCCTTAGGCGTCAGAAGTGCAAAGTTCTGACTGACACTTGCCACTCAAGAAAACCAAGTCAAGGGCAATTTGCGTCCAATGTCCAGCCGGAAATCCCTTCAGTGACATGGCAGGCTGAAGATGTCCAACCTGGCCAAGTATGAATGAGCTCGCCCAAACGCAGACTCTGGTGAAAAGGCATTTTAACATATTTTAGATTCAGATGTATTTTGCCTGACATTTCAAAGCGACGCAGCAAGCAGGTGGGGCGTACTGTTGCGGCGTCCCCTCGTGGCATGTCTTGGACGGGAATCGAAGCTTCACCAACCTCGAAGAGAAGTGGCTCCGTAAGGACAGACCTCACACGACGCGCAAAAGCGATGTACGACGCGCTACACGACGTTGTGTCCATGCGCCTGCTTTCTCTGGCTGCTTCTTCACTGCGCATCACATCCTGAATGCTGCTTGTCTGATGACGACAAAACCCATGAAGCTATAGCGACAAATTTTCCCGGCTCCTGCGACCATCTGGCACCTGGTCAACGGACTTCATAACTTGGTAGTGTAAGCTTTTGGCAAGTGTTGGGTTGCGTGTAACTGCAGGTTCACCTTCTTTGCCACCCATCCCGTCCTGCCGGTCATTCAGAAGCATACCGGTTGCTTCCAATGTCGAAATGTAAGGTTTTCCATTCTGACTGACAATCGTTCTTTCTATATGAATGTCCTCCACTTCTTCAAGCAGCTGTCCCAGCCTGAAGCAATGTTCCCTACAAGCAAGCAACTTACAATTCTGCCTGCTGCAATCAAGCTACGGATGATATATATATATATATACAGTATATATACATACACATATACAGTTCATATACAGTATATTATACATAGTCACACAGCGTAGATATTTTGGTGGGCAATCTATACACACATGGATGAATGGATGGATGGATGGATGGATGGATGCTTTTTTGCTTTTGCAGGACGCCGAGGGTAAAGCTCGTAGCACAACCCAATCCGTATGATATGGGTTCCCGGACAGCTATGTCTGAGGGTCATGATGACCTTAGCATCAATATCAGCTGCTCTAGTTGGCGGGTTGTTGCCGCCTCAGGAGGGTCACCCGCTTCAAGAAGACCACCGTGGCGGCAGTGCTCGTGTACTGGGGGAGCTCAAGCATGTAGTTCGGCGGACGGGAGTCGTCCTTCTCTACCCACGTGTTGTTACCCCGGGAGTCGTCCTTCTCTACCCACGTGTTGTTGGGTAATCTGACCAATGTCACGTAGTGTCCTCCAGTCAAAGAGCCGAAGTGACACAACAGTGCCACGGGCATGTATTCCATGAACTGCACGGTCATGGAGCCGTCCACAAAGATCGGCGAGCGCACATTGGAGTTCATGCTCACACAAAGGATGAGGGCGGCGCCTTGGTGGCAGAGCCAACCTCGGTCGAGGCGCAGGCACTTGAAGTAGGAGGAGGTGAGGTATCCGGCCCTTCCACACAATCCTGGAGGGCCAGTTGGGGTGAATCAAATTCTTCCACCCAGTTGAAGGTCAGCAAACACAGCGGCCCACCTTTTTCTCACACCTCAACGCCGTCCTCAGCCTGGAATCGCTGTTCCCAGGCATGGTCCAACAAAGGGAACTGTTACGAATTCGGCTGCTCAGCAAAGGATGTGTGGGCTTGCATCCCAAATTGCCATGAGCGGACGAAGCTCAGGCAAATCAAAAAGCGCCGGCGGTGATGGAGTATCCATCTGGCGCAGGCAGTGGTTGCCTCTGAGCCGCTTCCGTAGTGTGCGATGGGCGTTGCGCCCGCTCTTGATGCGTGAGGTCATGGTAGCATCCAACATGTTACGATAGCTTATGATTATACCAAGGTACACAGCCTGTTTGACAAGTCGAATCTGCGAAACTTCACCGTCTCTACGAGGGATGCGAATGAACCAGCTGTCTTTGGTCCTGCAGGTGTGTCGCGTCAGTAGATGTGCAAGACAGGGCCCTTTGGCCGTCAAAAGCATTTGTGCTTTGGTCAAATTAATGACCAGTCCTGTGGATTCGATCAAGTCAAGGAGTGCACCAAGACGAGCGATGCTTCGTTCAAACCGGAAAATGTCACTAACATGGAAGTCGTCGGCGTACAAATTTTTGCAATCTAGAGCCCGCGAACCCAGCAAGGCATGCGCCTGTGGCAATAAGTACCACATTGCAATGCTCCATGAGGGCAGGAGCTCCGGTGCATCCTTGTCGAATCCCTAGTTGAGTTGGCACACAATCTTCAAAATCCTGGGTGGCCACGACGTAATGTGTGTCAGTGCGCCAGCTGTGGAGAATATCAACCATGCACTAGAGACCTAGGCCATATGGCTTGGAGACTTTCGACCAGAAACTTGCGAGGCATGGAGTCGAAAGCTCTTTTGAGGTCAATCAGGAGTTGAAGGCCTCCACCAACAGCCATCGGTGCGTGACCCTGCGCAATTATGTGGGGGGTTCGACGGTGTTGGGAGTACTCAAGTTCTCGCGCCTCCATGCAATGTGTGGCCACTCGGTTGATGGCGTCACCAGTGCCCTGGTGGTGGACGTAGGCCCACTGGGGGTACTTACAAAGTTCTTTGTAGGCATGGTCACGAAGGACAGTTGCAAGGAGGGTCACGACGCCTTTTGCAAGGGGTTCCTGGCGAGAGGTCTGAGGTTTTCAGGGACATCTGTGGGCTTGTTGGGCTTCGTGAGCCACACCATCCAACCAACTGTTCTTCCAGGACGGTGGAATGAACGGAGGGGCCTGCCCCCACCAGATCTGAAGGTTGGCAAACACATGCTGGGCCCGTTCGTGTGCAAATGGTGCAAATGAACCACCTGAAGCATAGGGCCGGGAGAAGCAACCGCTTTTGGCCATTTAAGCTTACGGATGGCGTGCTCGAGTTGCTGACGTGTGAATGGCATGGAATCAACATTCAGTGCAGGTGAGGTCGGTTGCACTTCTGTCATGACATCGTCCAACTGCGGTCAGCCCACGTGCTCCGAATAAACTGTGCAAGGACAGTGTGAGACTCTAAAGGTCCCAACGGCACGCCTCCTTTGTCACGAAGCTGAATGCGTTTCTTCTGAGTTTCGGGGGCCAATCTGTTGATCAACTGATGAGCTTTACAGGTGCCGTGACAGGTGGCTGCCCTGGCAGCGTCACTCATCAGGTCTTTCACTCGTTGCTGGCGCCACTCCTTGGCGTGTGCTGCATGGCGGCGGGCTAACAGACGAAACTGAGTAAACAAAGCCCAACAATCAAAAAGACCACGGAGAGACCGTTGGGTCTGGCTTTTCAGTAGTGCCCAGGCGTTCCATTTTTGTTGAGTGATGTGTTCCATGGACAGCCACTTGGGTCGAGGGCATCCACTGGGAGGAAAGTGCTGATCAAACAAATGACGAATTTCGGCATGTAGGGCCTCCATATGCTTGGCAGTGGGATCCCACGTCCGCTTAAAGCAGCAACTGCATCTGGGCTTCGTACGCCGTCCAGGATTCAGTGCTCCCGGCTCTGGAGTAGTGACATTGTTCTCGTTGGTGCAGGGTCACAGTCTTGGAGCGCTTTGATGTGTACTTACGTGACCAGCGCATATAGGCAGGGAGCTAATCAGCGGGACATGAAAGGCAACGCTGTCAGCCATTAATGGGAAGTCCTGAGGCGGTCGAAACTCTTTTGACTTCTTGTCGACACACATGCTTCGTGTGAAGACATTGGTGCATGTGCTCTGGTGGATATCAAAGCAGTTAAGTCCGACTAACTGATGTGATTTAGTAATTTGAACAAACTCGGCACTGTCCGGTTGTTGAAGTCACCTGAGCATACGAGCATGTTTCGATGAGGGAGTCTACGTAAGTATGCATCAAGTTCACGCCACATCTTATGACGCTGCTACCTGGGTGTATGTGAACACTTGAAATTGCCGTGCTAGGGCAAAAGGTCTTACGAATCATGACCAAAATACCAGCGTGTGTCTTGACGTGGGGACCGAGTGCAAACAAGTCCAGGCGGAGTCCTGCCATTCCATGTCAGAGCTCCAGTGAGTCTCGGCGATGATCGTCTAAATGCTTTCTTCGGGCGGATCGCACTGGGTTCTGCTGGAGGCTTTCGCCTGGAGATGTGGCGAAGTGTGTGAGGGTGCATGGCTCACACGATGGTCCAGCACCATCATAACCCTCGGGCCAACAGGGAGCTGCATCCGGGCTCAACTGTGCGCGCATCATGTTGAGCAGGAGGAAAATGAAAGCTCTCCTGGCCAGGGATTTGGGACCCTGGACGGCGGTGGACCTCCGGCAGGGAGGGAGCAGAGTCTCGTGCGGCAGGATCGATGAGTCCTCGGTGGTCGACAGAACAGGTAGGTCATAAACGGCACCAAGGGCTGGATCAACTTGGTCAAAATGTGTAGGCCAGTGGAACGTCCTTTCCCGAGTGCTCAAAGTGGCCGGTAGAAGAAGGAGGCGAGGCGCATGGCGAGGACATTCACAATGCCATGGGCGCAAATGGGGGCCCGCACAAGCCTCTCTCCCGTGGGCCAGGGAGAGGCCTGAACCGCGCGTGACGGATGGATGGATGGATGGATGGATGGATGGACGGACGGACGGACGGATGGATGGATGTTGATGGATGGATGTTGATGGATGGATGGATGGATGGATGGATGGATGGATGGATGGATGTGGATGGATGGATGTGGATGGATGGATGTGGATGGATGGATGGATGGATGGATGGATGTGGATGGATGGATGTGGATGGATGGATGTGGATGGATGGATGTGGATGGATGGATGTTGATGGATGGATGTGGATGGATGGATGTTGATGGATGGATGTGGATGGATGGATGTGGATGGATGGATGTTGATGG